AATTTAGGAAAAGACTTAGTTGCTGTATTTCAGTAGTTTAGTACTAAAGCTAGGACTGGAATGAATTTTATTCTTATTTTATGTAATAAGAACTATTTGATTGTATGAGATATTTTACTTCAAATTAAATGGTACTTGTATTGTAGGTAACTATCATATTGTATCATTGTCATTATCATCATTCTGGCTATACAACCCTGTGTGGGTCCTAGTCTCCTCAAGAATTTCTCTCCAGTCGTCCCTATCTATCGCCTTTCTCCTCAAGCACGTATTCCCATATTTCTCATGTCTTCATCGATGTTATCAAGGAACCTTGTTCTGGGTCTTCCTCTTCTTCTCTGATCAATGGGTCTATCAAGGAGCGTTTTTCTAGCTGGGTCATTTTATTCCATCCGCATTACATACCCTATCCATTTCAGACGTATTATCTTAATATGTTTTACGATATCTGGATCCTGACATATTCTATAATGTTAAAAGTTGCATCATCTTCTCTACACTTCATTGTCATTCACTGCTCCATAGATTCGCCTAAGTACTTTTCTTTCGAAATATCTAATATGTTTTCATTACTTTTTGTTAGAGTTTAGGGCTCTGTACCATATGTTAGGACTGGGATGTAAGGGACTGTGATGCGCAATATATAGCCTCTCCTGTCAAAATGTCAACCTCACCTGTCCGTGTGATGATGTTGATTCTGATCATCCGGTGCATCCTGCTTTACAACAAACGAGGCTCTGGCGTCCGAGCGATTGTCGGTATAAGCAATCCCCCACTTACTGACCAACGGCTTCGGGCGGACGAGTTGGTAAGTGGCAGGGCACTCTTTTGTCCTGGAATGGAGAAATTGATTCCGAAGGCGGAAGAACTATAAAACTACAAATTAGTCAACGGCATAAGGATGCAGAAAGCAAAGGAGAACTACTGCATTAAAGGCCTTTTGGCACTCCTAGTTTTAACTATCATGGCTGTAAATAATTTAAGTCAAAACATTAATGATCATGGATCTCGGAATCCAAGATCCGGCAAGAGAGGACAATCTCAAGACTGCAGGGCCTCTCAGGTCGTTAATATGCGAAATCCTTGCAAAATAGCCACATGGAACGTCAGAAGCATGTTTGAGTCAGGTAAAATATATAATGCCATAAAAGAAATGAAAAGAATGCAAATCAGCATCCTCGGAATAAGCGAAATGCGATGGCCGGGATCAGGAGTATGTGACGTAGATGGATATCAAGTGTACCATGCCGGAAATACAGATGCCAATCACTATAATGGAGTTGCAATCGTAGTAGCAAAACACTTAGCTCAATCAGTTTTAACTTATATTCCCATATCTGACAGAGTAATGCTAGTAAAATTTAGTTCAAAGCCGTTCATTACCAACGTAATTCAGGTCTATGCCCCAACATCATCTAGTGATGAAGATAAATTAGAAGCATTCTACAAAGATCTTACTGATGCTCTAGATCTTGTCAAAGCAGCAGAAAATACCATAGTCCTCGGAGATTTTAACGCTAAAGTCGGCAAAGGACGCTGTTTGAACATTGTGGGGGAATATGGCTTGGGAAACAGAAACGAACGTGGAGATCGACTTGTCCAGTTCTGTCAAGAACACGATTTCATTATATCGAATACCCATTTTAAACTACCACCGAGAAGACTCTACACCTGGAAGTCAAATGCAGAATCAGAGGACAAAATTATTAGGAATCAAATCGACTTCATTCTAATAAAAAATCGATTTAGAAACTGCATCAAATCAGTTAAAACTTATCCAGGTGCTGACATTGGGTCCGATCACAATCCCATAGTAGCTGTAACCCAATTAAAATTAAAAAAGGTGATCAAAAAGAAGTCTCGCAAAAAGATTGATACAGCCCAACTACAAGACGAGAAAGTTAAGGAATCAGTTCAAAGACAACTGAACGAAAATTTAATTTGGGAAAATATTGGTGAAAACGTCGATGAGGGCTTAAATAAAATCGTAACGACAGTAAAAGAAATCTGTGTGAGAAATTTACAAGGCAGGTCAAAGCCAAAAAAGCAGGCTTGGATGACAGATGATATACTGGATTTGATGGAACAACGGCGACTAGCAAAAACCAACGAAACACTTTACAATAGCATACAAAAAGAAATTCGACGTAAAATACGAGAAGCAAAGAGTCAACATCTAGCCAAACAGTGTCATGACATTGAAGAACTCGAAAAAAGATACGACACGTTTAACATGTATAAAAAAGTAAAAGAAGCGGCTGGTATCTTCAATAAGAAACAAAATGCATTGCTACAGGATGAAAATGGTAAAGTAATATTCGAAGTAGAGGACAAACTTAAAGAATGGGAAAATTACGTCACGAACCTATTCGAAGACGATAGGAGTAGTTCACCTCCCGATATTACTAACTGCGACGGACCCCTAATAACACGCTGTGAGGTTATAAAGGCCATACAATCATCAAAAGATGGCAGAGCGACTGGTCCTGATGAAATTCCAACTGAAATATATAAGCTTATAAAGGATAGCAATGTTTTAGAGGCTATAACTTCGTTTTTCAATACCATTTATACCAGCGGACAACTACCTAATGGTTGGTCTAACTCACTGTTTATAGCTCTACCTAAGAAGACAACAGCAAAAACCTGTGCTGATTATAGAACCATCAGTTTGTTAAACCACTTATTGAAAATTTTTCTGAAGGTAATACATGGTCGTATCTACAATAAATGTGAGGAATACCTGGATGACACTCAGTTTGGTTTCCGTAACGGATTTGGAACGAGAGAGGCACTGTTTGGAATGAACGTACTTGCTCAAAGATGTCGTGATATATCTGTAGACATATACTGTTGTTTTATTGACTTTCAAAAGGCATTTGATCGTGTTAAGCACTCTATATTGATCGAAGCTCTAAAAGACATTGGCTTGGACGGCAGAGATGTTCGAATTATTGCAAATTTATATTGGAATCAAACAACACCAGTTTTAGTAGATGGTGTGGAATCACAAGCTCTCAATATTTCTATTAGGAATACTTGTGAACGGCGAAGTCATCAATAATTTGCGATATGCGGACGATACAGTACTCCTAGCTTCTATTCAAGAAGATCTGCAAACACTACTTGATAGTGTCGTTAAGAGTTGTAGGGAGGCAGGTCTGGATCTTAACATAAGGAAAACCATAATACTCGTAATAAGTAAACAACAGAATATAAAACCGTTTATATATGTAAATAATACCAAACTTGAGCAAGTTGATAAAATCGTCTACCTTGGACAGCAATTAAATTGTAATGCAGAAAATCACGGCGAAATTAGATCCAGAATAGAGCAGGCTAGAGCTGCTTTTAGAAGGATGTCCAAGGTGTTATGTAACAGAGACCTAAAATTGGCATTAAGGATCCGCCTACTTCGCTGCTACGTGTTCTCGGTCTTACTTTATGCTGTCGAGTCCTGGACTGTGAATAAAATCGATCTAAATCGCCTTGAGGCTTTCGAAATGTGGTGCTATAGAAGAATTTTAAAAGTTTCCTGGGTGGAGAAGATTCGTAACTCCACATTACTAGAACGTCTCAGCAAGACTACTGAGATCATAAAAAGCATCAAGCAGAGAAAGCTGGAATATTTCGGACATGTAATGAGAGGTCCCAAATATAGATTGCTACAAAATATCATGCAAGGAAAAATAGCAGGCAAACGCAGTCCAGGACGAAGAAGAACCTCATGGTTGAAGAACTTGCGAGATTGGTGTGGTGTAGATACAAGCATGCTATTTAGGGTGGCAGTGGATAAAATTGAAATAGCTATGATGGTAACCAACGTTCTGAAAGGACATGGTACAAGAAGAAGAAGAAGAGTTTTATTTTTGTACTTCTCGATTTAATTGTGGATTTAAGGAGAAGAAGCTCAAAATAGCATCTGTTATCTGTGCAAATTCTGCGGTTTATCTCCGCAGTAGTATTCTTTTCAATGTTAAGGAGCGCTCCCAGGTATACAAATTCGTTCACTGCTTCGATGACGTCGTTTTCTATAACAAGGACTGTAGGATTTGTGGTTGCGTGCTAATTTTCATATATTTCGTTTTGTTGGAGTTTATTATTAAACTCATTTTTAGTTAATTACTATTTATAACTGGGAATAAGCCACAATTAAAGATAAAAATGCGTTTATTGACGTTTCAATTTCCAATTCGGAAATCGTTAATTACTATTTAAATTTACTGTTTGTATTTTGAGAACGATTTCCGAATTGGAAATTGAAACGTCAATAAACGTATTGTTATCTTAAATTGTGGCTTATTCCCAGTTATAAATAGTAATTAATTTACAATGCCACAAGAAAATAGCTTCAGAACAATATCATTTTTAGTTGGTTCTTATAATGCTACGTAGGCCTTGCCTACAGCGTTTTTCGTTCTCCCAACAATATTGATATCATCAGTTTAGGGAAGGATTTGCACTAATTTATTATTTATTGAACCAATGGTTGTAATTTGTGACATACGTATTACTTTTTCTAGAGCCAGATTAATTAAACAGTATACAGGAGAGAGGCTCTCCCTAGCACAGCCCGTTATTTGTTTTAAAAGGTTCAGGCAGTTCCTAAATTCGTACTCTACATTTAACTTTTTCAAGAGTTAGTTTTGTTAAATTTACCAACTGATTTGGTATTCCTAGCTCTTTCATTACTTCGATCAATTCCCCTGTATTTACAGATTCGTAGGCTGTTTTGTAGTATATAATTGTATCACTGTTTTATATTGTATTATGAGAGAAAAAGAAAAAAAAATATAATATTAATAATAGAAAGTATCCTTCGTCATCCAAATAAAATATTAACTGATTCATGATTAAAGAATTAAAATCAAAAATTTGTCTCCTAAAATAATCTTGACAGATATTATATAATCGCATCATCGAACATGTAGTTAAAAAATAAACTATATTACAAATCCCTACTGCACTCAATATAGGCATCAGCATAACAGTGTACTCACCTTATAGTAAGAAAACTTAATGGAAATTTCAAAGTCTAAGCCTTCTTTGAGTATGAGTTTGCCGACGATACCGTTTTCTTCAAAACCTTCGATTGGAGTGTAAATCTTGTAGGAGTAGTCGAAGTCTGTAACATTACCATAATGCCAGACTCCAGAGAATCCAAGCAATAGAAAATTCCATCCGACTCGAAAATCTGCCTGAAAAATATAGCTAATTTAATATCATGCCAAAACTCGTATTTAGTTGTCGCGTGTTATTGTTTTTGTTTAATCGAGGTTTGTAAATACTCATAAATAACTTGTTTTTTATTGTGTATCTTTTGACATTATTATTCTAATATTAAAAAAATATCGTTTGAACTGAATAGCAAAATTTATAAATTTTACATTTGGTTTGATAAATAATTTTTAATTGTTTTAGTTGTATATTAAAATTTCCTTATCGTATCTTAGTCAATTATAGTTTGTTAATACCAAGTTTGCAATACTAAATTTAAAAAATTGTTAAAGAACTTGGTCGTATACCAAAAAGGGAAAATGATAGATATCAGTTATACAAATACACTTGGAAAATAAATAAAAATACTTCAAGAAATCCAGAAAAAGAAAACAAATTATTTACTCAAAATTAACGTATGCATTACATTTTTTTTATTTGACAAAATAGTCGCATCACCCTCTGAGATTATTAGCGACATATATATATATATATATATATATATAATATATATATATATATATATATATATATATATATATATATATATGTGTGTATATATATATCGGAAAAAGGAGTACGACCGTCAAATTCCAATATATAAAAGGATCACTCAACAGAGTGGTGGGCTCTTATATCGGTCAATTTGTAGGTGGAGAAATGAAAGACAAAATTGATGTGCCACTCTATCTCTTTTGAAAACGTTTCGCTTTCGTATTCTGAAAGCATCATCAGTTCATTCTTAAAAAGACATGTAGCAGTCAAAGATGTTAACAAGCTTATGAATTAAACTTGAATAAATGGACAATATAAAGTAGAAATGTATAAACATTTAATTTACTAACAACATTTAGTGACTTATTAAAAAATTAGCACAGTGAGTGACCATGTGGTCCGAAGTATAAAAAATATATATTAAATTATAACTTAAATGATGCAAAGAACTAAGAAAATCAACGATTAACTTCCAACAATGGATAATTATTAAGCTTTAATTTTAACTTTTGGTAGCATTATTAAAAGATGTTAATATAATTTAAAAAAAAAATAAGTGTAAATGAATGAAGTTACCGGTCTAAGCCTTACACCTGATTTTTTTCCTGGTAGCAGGTGTAAGGCTTAGACCGGTAACTTCATTCATTTACACTTATTTTTTTTTAAATTATATTAACATCTTTTAATAATGCTACCAAAAGTTAAAATTAAAGCTTAATAATTATCCATTGTTGGAAGTTAATCGTTGATTTTCTTAGTTCTTTGCCTCATTTAAGTTATAATTTAATATATATTTTTTATACTTCGGACCACATGGTCACTCACTGTGCTAATTTTTTAATAAGTCACTAAATGTTGTCAGTAAATTAAATGTTTATACATTTCTACTTTATATTGTCCATTTATTCAAGTTTAATTCATAAGCTTGTTAACATCTTTGACTGCTACATGTCTTTTTAAGAATGAACTGATGATGCTTTCAGAATACGAAAGCGAAACGTTTTCAAAATAGATAGAGTGGCACATCAACTTTGTCTTTCATTTCTCCACCTGCAAATTGACCGATATAAGAGCCCACCACTCTGTTGAGTGATCCTTTTATATATATATATATATATATATATATATATATATATATATATATATATAAGGTTCTTGAACCCCTAAGTGGAGCATAAAGCTTCAGTGGAAACGCGCCATCGGGTTCTATTTTGCGCTAAGGCATTCACCTCATTCCAAGACTTTCCTTGTTTTCTTATCTCGTCCATGATGGATCTTCTCCAAGTTTGTACTAAGCGACCTTTTTTTCGTTTTCCTTGGGGATTCCACTCTAGGGCAGTCTTTGCAATACTGGAGTTATTTTTTCGGAGTGTGTGACCGATCCAACCTCACTTTCTGGACTTTATTTCATTTACTACCCTCTGTTGTTTGGTCAGGTGTAGTAAATCTTCGTTTCTGATGATGTTAGGCCAGAAAATACGAACAATTCTTCGTAGACATTTATTAACAAAGACCTGCAGTTTGTCTGTAAGGGTTTTTGTCGCTTTCCAGGTTTCACATCCGTAAAGTAGTACAGACATGACATTTGACTGGAATATGCGGATCTTTGTCCTCGTAGTGTAGTCTCCAGACCTCCAAACAGGGTTGAGCATGCTGAAAGCTTGTTGTGCTTTTCGTATCCTCATACGAATGTCGTCTTCTGTACCTCCGCTTTCTGTTATGACACTTCCAAGATACGTAAAGTTTTCCACATTTTCAATCGGCATGTTATTAATGGTGAATAGCGTGATGTTTCTTGCATTTACTCTCATGGATTTGGTTTTACCAATATTGATTTTCAAACCTATTTTATTGGCTTCAGTGGAAAGTGTTTCCAATTGGTTAGCCACATCTTGGAACCTTTGTCCTAACAGGCAGATATCGTCGGCGTATTCTAGATCTAGAGCGACATATATACATAAACATAAAATAATTTATTTACAAATGTTAGATTTCTTAAATACATCTTTAAGAAATTTTACCAAATCTTTAATTTTACAATTTTCTCCCAAGATTTCACTTGTTGATCCGATGATGTGGTTGTTCTGTCTCTGCAACTGGTATCTTGGGCACTATACAAGTACATGCTTAACACTTAGTAGGAAATTACAGTTATGTTGAATCACTCCAGGAAGTTGGAAAGACATCATTTAACCATATTTGATTAAAAATTTTTAGAAGAGTACACTTAGCATTGTCTGGCAGTTTTTCAAGAACACTAAAGGTATATTATCGGGTCCAGGAGCAAAGCTTTTGTAGTATTAAGGGCAAAGTTAAGTTCATCTAAGGTTGAAGGAATATTGAAGGAACGATTATCTCTATCTTTACAATCGAGCTGATGTTTTTCTGTGATGATTTTGATTTGTATAAACTCTTCGGAATAGTTGCTATTGCTGAAGTTTTTTTCAAAGTATGTAGCAAAAGCATCAGCTATTTCGTTAGGTTTTGATATTACATTAGTATTATGAGTAATAAAAGGCACTTGGTAAAATTTGTTTTTTTCTGATATTATTCGAATATTCCCCAGATTGTGGATTAAGGTGTTGTACTGTTTCTATTTGAGACAAATTTTCTCCAGTTGGTTTTTCGAGCATTTTTTGTTATATATCGAGCATGTGCTATCTGTTTTTTGTATTCAGCTATGTTAGTTGCGTTACTATGTTTTTTCATTCTATTAAAAGATGCTTTATATTGCTTGATTTCTATTTGACATTCTGTATTCCATCATGGTAGAGGTCTGTGTTTCTTTAATAATTTAGTTTTTCCTATATGTGTTTCTGCCGCGTATGTAATAATATTCTTAGAAATGTTAAGACTTTCATTTATATCAGTGTTTTCAACAGTAGATTTTTGTGATTCTATGTCTAATTCTATGGCATCAGTGTACTTGTCCCAATTAGTGTTTTTCAGGTTCCATTTTTTTCGGACTCGTTGGTATTCATAGATAGTGTCATCAGAAAATACAGAAATTTTTATTGGGTAATAATCGCTAGCATACAAAAAGGGTAGGGAATCCCAATTAATAGTCATTGAAAGAGTTGGGTCACAAATCGATAAATCGATTGCCGATGTTGTACCAGTATGTACATTAAATCTGGTTGGTCTTCCATCATTGATAATGTTTAAATTTTCTTCAGTTAGCAAGTCTTCGATTAGTTTGCCTTTGATATTAACATCTGTTGAGCCCCACATTGGGTTGTGACTATTGAAATCTCCTACTATTAGCCTGCGCATAGGTATTTGTGAAATGAGTGCTTTTAAGTCGGTTAAGGTGAGAAGTGTATTTGGGGGAATATAGATGCAACATACATTAATTAATTGGGAAGCTTTAACTGAGACGGCTACAGCTTCGATGTCTGTTTTTAGAGAAATCATTTGTGTTTCAAGAGTATTTTCAACATAAATGGCCACTCCACCACTTGATTTTTCCTGCTTGTTTCTATTTTTATAAAATGTTGAAAAATTTTTAAATGTGTGGCAATATTGTTCTTTAAAATTCGTTTCTTGGAGACAAATAATAGCAAGGGTAATATCATTAATTAAAAGTTTTAGCATTCATAATAGGTACAAAACCCATTTATATTCCACTGTAATAAGTTGAATGTTATAGTTATAATTATTGAATTTTTAGCTTATGGGATAAATCAGTCGATGTATCCGTGTCAGGTTCTTCATCCTAGTAGTTGTCTTTTGAGAGCTGTCTCGTAATTTTTGTGTTTAGTTGTGTACATTTCAATTTTAATGAGCGCTCGGATGTATATGAATGAATTTTGGTTAAGAGTTGTCAAAATTCTGGAATGTCTACTATATATTTATTTATAACGCTGATAACATCTTTTGTTCCATGAGTGTTTTTAATTAAATCAACTGTTCCTTAAAAATTATTATTTGCTTTTCGGAATTGAATAATTCTTTACTTGGTTGCATTAGCGTTTCTAAAGGTATTGTTGGTACTTTTGTTTTTATTCTCTTTTGTTTCTGAGTTGGCTTTGAAAATCCATCGTCACTAGCTGAAATCTCAATCGGGGCTGATATTGCTTCAGATACAGTTCGTTTGGAGGACGATTTAGATGTATTTTCCTCGTTGGATACGCTAAATTGTTTTGGTGCTGGATTCTCTTTATTTTCATTAACCGAGAAAGAATTATTGTTTAGACTGGAAGGTGATTGCTGGTTAGTTCTATCTATAGTATATAGTTACGATCTATCTCCTCAAGAACTTCCCGTTTACTGTCAAACAACTACAATAGCAGAATTGAGTTCTCCATTCAACAATACATAGTAGTTTCAACCATGTTCTACCATCCATTAATTAATAGAGTACCGGCAAGTAAGTAATGTTTATTTTTATTTATTTGCTCATTTAATAATTTATTACAATCTAATAGACTATTTTATAACAATTTGTGGGCCTTACCTTGTCTGTTTAAACTTTTAAAACTTTTATACCTTTTTATTCAACTTACTCTTTTTGAAATAAAACCACAGACATGTAATATTGGCATAATTATTGTAATTTACAACATCTAATGGACTCACACAAGCAACACATTCATGATTTTTACAATATTCTTTTTGAAAACGGGGATGAAAATCGGGGATTTATGGGATGAAAATCGAAACATCAAAAATGAACGTAAAATGTTGTTTTTGTTGTCGAAATGTTGTTAAAATGTTGTTGATTATTATTACAATTTATTGTGATTTAATCAAACATAAATATAATACTTTCAGAACTTCCTTGCACAAAAATCATGTTTTTTATTTCATGTTTTATTATTATGTAAAACTTACCCCTTCAGGCTGAAGTTTGGTTACCAATACCACATCCTGCAAAAATTCTATCGGTGTTGCAAGGTGTAACTTTACATCAAAATTGGTAATACTAGTTACAGAAACTAGAACCTCTACGCCCAAACCGCCGCTGGGGTATGTAACCATCGCTACAAAATGCCTATTTGCTAAGGAACTGATTAGTCGCAGCTGATAATCTTCTCTAGCGGAAGTAGCATTAACTATCAAAAAACAATTGGTAATTCTTTCAAATTTTCCATCAACATTAAAATCAATATGGTTATGATCAAGAACTAGTTCTGCACCTCCACGAATAGACTTTTGGTCTTTTATCATAAATTTACTCACGAGAAAACCATTTTTAAAGGCTTTAAATGGTGTTTGGGAAATAACTGTTCCCGTTAGATTTGTGTAATCATTGCCTTTTTCTATTTTCCATTTGCTGTCGAAGCCGATCACAAAGTCAGGATTATACTGTAAAATAAAAATAGTTAATTAAGTACATGAAAAGAATCATGGTGTATTGTTACGATAATTATGGCGTTTATAACTATCAATATATTATGACTAATTCTGTTTTCTGTTCCAGTAAATTCGAAGTTGTTTACAGAAACCTTTAGACCCTAATTTTATGAGTAATCCACGTCTCGAGGCTTTTCAAACAGTTGAAAAACGAGTCGAGCGCCTTCACCAAAATACGAGATTATTCAAGAAGTTCGCCGAATTTTCTAGATGACAACAGTTGTGTATATAAATGAAAGATTTTTTTATTTGGAGTCAGTCATAAGAAGATCGGGAAACGCGGTTTACTTGTAACGAAACGTGACATAAATACATTTGTACAGCTATTTAATAAATTAGTAATTAGTTATCGTGAGTTTTAATAAATTAGAATATAGACAATAAATTAGAATAAAGACAAATAAATTAGAACAATATAAATATACAACAGTTGGTGTCCGGTGTGGAGTTTCAACATAAATCCAGCAGTGACTTTTGAAAAAGACTTTAAAACTTTTGAAAAGTATTGTTCGTCGGGAACATCCGCGTAGTTCGGTAGTGACCTTTGTACAAAAGAACATTTATAAAAGTACGTGTGTGCCTGTACAAAGATGCTGCTAGTACAACTTCGTAAACAGTTGCGTGAGCAATTAGAAGAACGCGATGAAGACTGCAGCGGGTCCAAGAAGATCCTCCAGGAGCGACTGAAGAATATTCTTAACAAGAATGGAGATGACCCAGAGACATTCCAGTTTCAATCATCAGAAGAAACAGTTTTAACAAAAATAAATGAGAAATTTGAAAATGTCTCGCAAATGATTGAAGAATCTTCTAAAAAAACTGATGAAAGATTCGATGAAACGTCTCAAATTATTAAAGAAATAGCTAGACAAAATGACGAGAAAATTGAAAATATGTCTAGAAGATTCGACGAAGTATGTAGAATAGTGAGAAGTTTGAAGAAGTCTCTAAAACATTTGATAAAGTTGAAGAGAAAATCAAACAGTTAGAGACCATGATAACTAACACGAGAGTGCTACCACCAATTAATACGGTAGCTTTAGATCCGGTAGAGATAAAAGAAGACGAGACGAAATGTAAGTTGGAAACACGGCCGAAATTTGAAGGAAGCGGAGGTTATGTTCATGTCAAAGTTCCAACTTTCGACGGAAAATCGTCATGGAACAACTACATGAAACAGTTCGAATCAGCTGCAAGAGCGAATGGATGGTCAGAAAAAGAAAAGGCTGTAAACCTGACTATAGCTCTTCGAGGAGATGCCTTAGATGTGCTCCAGACCATAGCCGTAGAGGAGACGGATGATTTCGAACAACTGAAGAAGAGGTTAAATATGCGATATGGCCACGAACACTTGGAGCATGTATATCAGTCGCAGCTCAAAAATCGAAGACAAAAGAAAGATGAGGCTCTTCAAGAATATGAAGTAGATATTGCCAGATTAGTGCGATACGCTTATCCAACAGCTCCCGAAGACATGATGGAAAAGTTGGCCGTTCAAACGTTTATTGATGGTCTTCGTGATCATGAAATGCAGAGAACACTACGATTAGCTCGTCACAAGACGCTGGTTGATGTCTTATCCGCCGCCCTCGAATACGAGTCAGCTACGCAGGCCTCTGGCGGTTACAGTAAAGTTAGGACTGTAAAAGAGGAAGGAGATGAAGATAAACTTGACCAGCTCGTTAATATGATGAAAAGCATGACATACAAGAAAACGAAGACCATAAGATGCTGGAATTGTGGCGAAATAGGACACGTACGAAGTTCATGTAAGCATCCTAGGTACGACGCAAATCAAGAAACTCACCATCAGGAAAACTAGAACGGGTCGGCCTTAGGGGGGCAGCTTCGACCCAGAACTTTTCCAAAGACCCTCTCATACTAATAGCTTCTTTGAAATGTCGTGAAGATAGTGTATATGTAGATGGAGAAATAAATGGTAAAAAGCATACGTTGTTGGTGGATACCGGAGCGACAAGAACCATTATTCGCCCGACAGTTATAAACAGCCGTAAGAAACTGTTACCAACGAGGTTGCGACTGCGGACCGCTACAGGTGAAAATGCCAACATTCATGGAGAAATCCAGGTACAATTAGGAATTGGAACAGAAAAGTTCGTCCATACTGTTATAGTTGCTGACATCGACGAGGATGTTATATTAGGAATGGACGTAATGAATACGCATGGATTCCAATTGGATTTTAAGAATTAGGTAATCAAAGTTGGTAACGAGGAGGTATTTCTCCATCCACATGATGACAACACTATGCAAGCAACCGTTAAAGAAGATACAGTCGTGCCTGCGAGAAGTGAAACGATAATAGTAGCGCGGCTACAGGGAATTGTGGACGAAGGAACACCTGTTATGATGGAGCCTTGGAATCATGACGACGAAGTTGGCCGTGGAATCATAATTGGAAAGGAATTGGTGACTTCGGCTAAAGAAATTCCTGTGAGACTTATTAATGTCAATGACTACTCAGTGACCATCAAGAATGAGACAAAAGTAGGAACTTGTGTACCTGTTACATCCATAATCCGTCAGACGACAACGTCTGATAATTCCAACGACAAATTTGATCAAATGGTTGCAGTTGCTGGACAGTCTCTGAATCAGATTGGGAAAAGGAAATTAAGGGAATTTCTTCGGCAGTATCGTGATATTTTCGTACCGAAAGGAGGAAAGACGGGAAGAACTACCGTTGTTAAGGATAGAATTGATACTGGTAATGTTAAGCCAATTCGTCAAACAGCTCGACGATTACCACAGGCGAAAAGAGAGGAAGCTGAAACGATTGTTCAGGAAATGAAGAAAGACGGGGTAATAGAACCTTCTACGAGCCCATGGGTCTCTCCGGTGGTCCTGGTTAAGAAGAAAGACGGAACAACGAGGTTCTGTGTGGATTACCGTTTGCTGAACAACGTTACCAAGAAAGATAGTTATCCTCTGCCTCGAATCGATGACACATTAGACACATTGGCTGGAAGTAAATTATTTTCTACTCTGGATTTGAAGTCTGGATACTGGCAGGTAGAAATGGACCCGGTAGATAAAGAAAAGACAGCCTTCACCACCACAGGATCTGGATTATGGCAATTCAACGTTATGCCATTTGGACTTTGTAACGCTTCTGCGACATTTGAGAGGCTTATGGAAAATGTGTTAAGAGGGTCCAGTTGCCGATACCAGCATACCGTTTCAGTTCCAGTCCCGACAAGGTTCCAGGAGGAACCATCTTTTAAGAGGGGGGCAATGTTACGATAATTATGGCGTTTATAACTATCAATATATTATGACTAATTCTGTTTTCTGTTCCAGTAAATTCGAAGTTGTTTACAGAAACCTTTAGACCCTAATTTTATGAGTAATCCACGTCTCGAGGCTTTTCAAACAGTTGAAAAACGAGTCGAGCGCCTTCACCAAAATACGAGATTATTCAAGAAGTTCGCCGAATTTTCTAGATGACAACAGTTGTGTATATAAATGAAAGATTTTTTTATTTGGGTCAGTCATAAGAAGATCGGGAAACGCGGTTTACTTGTAACGAAACGTGACATAAATACATTTGTACAGCTATTTAATAAATTAGTAATTAGTTATCGTGAGTTTTAATAAATTAGAATATAGACAATAAATTAGAATAAAGACAAATAAATTAGAACAATATAAATATACAACAGTATTAACTTTTCAGTTACAAATTTTATACATTTTTCTATAATCATTTTATAAATTCAATTCTTGTATTTCGAAGTAATTTTTAGTCGAAGTTGCTTTGTATTTGCAATAGAATATGTCTATGAGATGTTTAAGAAAAGAACACGCTGCTTTTATGTGAAATACTTTTTAGTTGAATAGTAATTACTATACTCCGTTTCAAGTTAAGAAAATCACATTGTGCTCATGGAGATCAGTGTTACCAAAACTCTCAGTCACGTGTTGCTATTAGATTTTCGATATATTATTAATACTAATCAAAGCCGTATTCAGCACTATGTAGTTGTAGTTATGGGTGATTTTAATGCCAAAGTTAGAGAAGGAAGACGTGGACCAAATGGACTCAGTGTTCGAAATGAGAGATGAGAACGCCTTATAGAATTCTGCCTAGAACATAATCTTGCGGTAGTAAATACTTTCTTCAAACTGCCTAAACGACGCCTTTACACTTGAAAATCGCCAGCTGACAAGGTCGATAAAATCATTAGAAACCAAATTGACTATATTTTAATAAACCACAGACACCTAAACCCAATACAATTGGTGAAAGATTACCCAGATGCAGACGTGGCATCGGACCACAATCCTCTTGTAGCAAGTTTCAACTTCATTTAAAAAAGATACAAAAAAGCTACAAAAGTGATGAACTAAACTAATTTATGGTGATGTAGAACGACAGTGGCAATTCTTTAAAAATGCAATTATCGAACGAAGTCGCAGAGAACTCACAACAACCAGATGCAAGAAAGTAGATTCGATGACAGACGGAATCTTGGAAATGATGGAGGACAGAGGACAGGCAAAAGAGTATCAACATAACTCAGAATCAAAAGCTGCATAATCAAATAAGAAGGAAAATAAGAGAAGTTAAAGAGACTTATCTCGATGTAAAATGACAACAAATAGAAGACTTACAAAACAAATATGATAACTTCAATCTCCATATGAAAGTTAAAGAATTAGCTGGGGTGGCAAAACAAAAAACCTCAAGCATACTATTGGACAACCAAGGGAAATATTTTAGTGGAGACAGAACAAAAATTAGGAAGATGGAAAGAATATATTATAGAGGAATTATTCCATGACCAGAGACAGGAAAATATATATGAATATAATCAGAGTAAAGACGAGGGACCCGAAATAACAATGTCAGAAGTTATGCATGCAGTAAAGTCCATGAAAAATAATAAAGCTGCTGGTCCAGATGAAATACCAAGTGAATTGCTAAAACT